CCCATTTCTATTAATTCCCACGTGGTCTTCTTACCGGTGAGTGGACCCAGACTTCTGTTCTCTCCGGTCTCTCCATGTTGACTCCTCCTCACTACTTCCTCTTTCCTCCTTGTCTCCTAGTCCCTCCTATCTTCCTTTCCTATTGGCCAACAGTGCATTATTCATTAACCAGTATGAGAAACATATATACAGAATGGCATCTCCCATCATTCTTATACTTGTAATGTCTGACTTTGGGATTAAGAGAATGCTAACCTCATATTTCAGTTTAGAAGCCTTTATCCTTTTTCTAATTGTAAGGCATATTTGTTAGATTTCTTTTAAAATCAAAGTTTATTTAGAGCACTGTGTCACAGGTCTATAGGGTCCAGCATCTGGCAGGCTGAAGCTATAATCTGGGTTCAAAAGAGATACCTCAATGTGAAGAAAAATAAAGGATATTTAGAAACAAAATCATCTTGATTTGTCTGTATTGTAAGAAAGAATTGTAACACAGACATACATTTGAAACTATGTGGCTACTCAGAGTATATCTTTGTTCCTGAATGAAACATAATAACTTTTGTCTCTCATGATATTCATTTACTTGACTTTTAAAAGTTATGGCCACAGAGATTTTCAGATTTAACTTTGAGCCCTTTAATAGCTATAGAATCAGTTATGGTTGCCTCCAATTAATATTTAATATAAAAATTTACTTTATTTATGGAAGGGTCTCAGAACTATAGCAATTTTATTAATCTCACAAATCAGCTTTGGTTTCTTTGATACATTATTTTGTGCATAGTTTGAAAACTAAACAATATATCAATCCTCTCATGCAGTTAGCTCCCTTTTGCATGCCAATATGGGGTAATGAAGCTATATTCATGATGATTCAATACATAACATAAATATGATTATTTAAGACCAGTAATTATAATGTATATATGTAAATTATGTAAACTTTAACCATGAGCAAGTTTTAGAAATTAACTATCATTGAATAACAATTTTGCATCTAATTTAAAATGATTTGTTCTATAAATATTACCATCTGTATTATGTACAATATTCTGATGTTCTTATTTAAAGTATAACTTGAGATAAAGCTTACCTTTCTCCTAAAAGAGGTATTTTATGATAAGTTTGCATCATTGGTTGAATAGCCTGGCAACATGATGGCCTTGAGAAATTCTAGTTCACAAATATAACTGAGGGCACTTTTCATCCCTGGAGACTTTATTATTTCCAATAACCAGACTCTGGAGGTATTGCCATCTCAGAGCATCATTTATATGTGTCTTGCATTTCACTCTCAGAGCAAAGTTTTAAAAAGGCTTGTCATTTGCTCCCTAGTGGATTTTGAAGAACAATGAGCAAATGAAAATATTTCTTTCAAAATTAGCTTAAATTTCTGTTAAATAGCCTCAAAAAGAAAAGCAAAAGACCCAAATAAAGATGCAAGAGTGTAAAAATTGGTTCATCTGATGTTCTATTTCAACTGCAGTATTTCCAAACTTATTGGTTATTTGGGACATTTTAAGAGTAATCCAAAATTAAGTGCTCTATCAACTATTTTACACTCTGATTATGAGATTGTAGAATTTTTTCTTCTAATATATTCAGAATAATTTTCAATAACTAAAAAATATTTTCCATTTTCAATTATTAACAAACTATGAAGTCATATCATCTTAAATTTATTCTTTTAAGAATGGTCTCCAGCTCCAAGTTTCTGTGACATGTGAATTAATCACTTTGATTAAGGCTGTCCTAATTACCATGAAAGGCCATGTCAATTGTGATTAAATAATTGACAGGGACAAATTCTTTAATCTACAAAAAGTTATACTATAAAAGTATCGTGGCCTTACATGAAATACTTCTACATAAGCTATTGTCAAGGAAGCTCCCTAAGCTCCAAAAAGAGTACAAGTTCTTTCCATTTCTCTTCACTGCCCAACAGAATTAGATGAAAATCTCATATTACTGAAGATGCCATACACTTTGGTTGTAAAAAAGAAACGTAGTACCAAGATGGAAACTTCTCAGATGTCTACTTTCACAATGTCAGAAGGTGCTGTATAGGCTGTTAGTAGAGAAAAGCCATTGGTGGTCTGACCTAGAAACAAACACTGGAACTATAATACCATCCTACCTTGCAAGATGTGTCCACTGCTGTAACAGTGGCAGACTGTTAACTCACAAACAAACTCTCTCTGATTGTTTTCCAGGTTAGCAGGGATTTTCAAACTGGTACTACAACTAACCAAGAAACCATGCCTGAGGAGGTTATAAGCCCTAGAATAGAGTCTAATGCTTTCAATTAGCTAAATTGATACAGTATTAAACTTTTATTCAGAAACCTGTTTTAGGCCCATAGACATATACTACTATATGATTTAATTAGTGAAGCTTGTCTAAAATGAATGAGTCATAGCTACTCAAAGTATAGGGAAAATTGATTATTGAGTATTCTTCTCTAAACATAAAATGTATAACATATACTCTAAAACTCAGGTAATTTAATGAAAGAAAATTCAGAAAGAATATAGGATCCAGAAGATAGGGAGAAAGGTAGTAGACTGTTATCATCTGAGTATGACACAGCTATTACAATCATGAACTCATAAATGCTTCAGTTGCTTATTCTAAGGTTATATAAGACTGGAATTAACTGATATAGATGGAGCTGGAACTCATGGAACTTTGCCCATATTTGATGAACTATTCATAATATAAGATTTTACAGAAGGTTGAGTAAGTATCTTAAGAGTCTACCATTTTGCAATTGATAACTCCATGTCCATGGCCACAAAAAAAGCTCTAGTAAACTTCAGTGTATCACAAAAGAAAGCAAAAGGCACAACATGGGCAAGAGTTTTTTTTGTTTTTTTTTTTTTGTTTTGTTTTGTTTTTTTTCCACAAAGAGAAAGACTGACAGAATTTGGGGATAAACAAATACACATACATGTGTGAAATTCTTAAAGAAAACATTTAGTTATTTTTAATCTGTTTTTTCTTTTAACATATACTTTATATCACAAATGAGGTCCATATTCTTGGGGTTTAATGCTGCTTTCAAATACCTTTATTCCTCTAATGCAAAACATCATTACAAGTACTCATATCACTCAACTCTGCCAGCCTTTCTACATTAATTTGGCCTTCCATACTCTTTAGTATTTTTCAACCTTATATTAAAATTCTTTTACATTTTTCTCAGAAATAAAGTTGGCTACTCTTGGTGAACTTCCAGTACATATAATTACCTCATTAGCCCATTGACTTCTAAATCTTTGGTCTTTTGTACAACTTCACACAATGTTCTACTTTCCTGTTATATCATAGAAGTTACCATCAGCATCTGTATTTCCTTCAGCCTGTTTTCTAAATGAAAATTCTTCAGAAGTAACCTTCTCTCATTTACTGTGTTAATCACTTTTACACATTTGAGATACTTAATTTCTTTCCAAAGTCACAAATTACAAAATCTATTTCTCATCTATCATCTATATTTACCTATCATCTATCTTTATCAGTCTTATATACCTATCATCTGTCTCCACATCCAACCCAGAAGAAATAATAGATACTTTACCTCATAAATATATTCCAAGCATTTAAAATTTAGACAATAAAAATGGAACATCTATGATTGTAATCTAAATAAATGACTTGCTGAATCAACAAGTGAAAACACTTCTACCAACTATTTTTTTTGTATTTATGTTGCTTATACATTCATCCAAGGTTAATATCCTTTAATATTCTTCCTTCTCATGAGAATATCCTAAAAGTTTTGTCCTTTCATAAAAACAAATGTGTATTACTACATGTTTTGATTTTTATATAATACATTGCCTTATTTAAAATGTAACCTTCTAAATAGAACCTGCTATTATAACCTTCTAAATGGAATTAACACACAGTTTGTTTTAATCTTAATTCTGGAATTACTGTTTTTCAATTAGATTTGATATATACCTAAACAAAGCATAGTACAATTGTTGAGAAATCAAAATAATTGAATGATATTTACAAATACTCAATATTACATAAGAAATTTTACAGAGACAAGAAAAATAAATGTTTTCATATGTTTTAAAACACTCATGACTTTAAGATGATTTTTCAGTAATTAGTAAGATTATTATAACTTCATTATATATTTAACTTAAAGGAAAAAGTTTTTAGCTTGTAGTTGTATACCTAGTGATTTATCTTTCAAATAGCAAACTAAAAATAAGTATACATCTTTAAAATATTCTTAGCAAGGTCAGTATAGACATTTTATGAACTGAAACCATTTAAAAGTCACAAAAATATTGAGAATTGTTCCAGAAAATATCACAAAATTACAAGATGAAGTGACAAAGTTAGAAGAAGTATAAATAAAAATGCTTACTCACTGAATAAAACAGTGGTAATAGTAGAATTGCATGAAATAAAATTGTGCTATGTTGTGTTAGTTTCCTAGGGCAACATAATAAATTAACATAAAGAAATTTTTAATATTTCCTCCACAAAATTAATTAAAACAATAATACATAGTACAAGAGGGTTACCAAATTTGAATATTCAAAAATCTGTAATAATTGGATAGGAAGTTAAATTAATATAATTACACCAATATAGCACAAATAAATTCTTATAATCTCTATAGTAAACAATGCAAATGAAAAGATAATTAGTTAACAGAGGGAAAATGAAATAATAAAAAGACTTTTGTACTGAGTTAAAACATTTATTAAAAGTCTTGTCTATAGTTCAGATGTATGCCTAGCATGTATGAATCTCAGGTTGGATCAGTAGCAGAGAATAAACCTAGAGTGGTAAATCATTTCTATGATCCCTGTATTGAGGAGGCAGAGACTGGAAGTGTGAAAACTTAAGATCATCTTATCTACATGTAGAGTTAGAAGATAAGCTGGAATACATAAAAACTTATCTCAAACAGGCAAGCAAATAAAAATAACACCTATAAACTTATTAAGGAACTATAAAATAACATTTGAATACTTAGCTAGCAGGGAAGGTACCATGATCACAAAGGTGGTTTTCCCAGAGCCAGGCTTATTTATTGAACTCTGGATATAGTGACCTCTATTATTTCCCCAAATGTGGGAAACTCAGTTACATAATTTGTGGTAGTGGGGGACTGCATTGGAGTTCTCTGCTAAAATATATATATTTGAAACTATCTTTGAATATTAAAATTAAATACTTTTGAAAAGGTTGGAGTAAATTTTTAATGTAGCTAAAAGAAGAGAAATGCAAGTTATATTTTTGTTTAATGAAATATCAATTAATTAATGTGTTTGTATATGTTCATTTTTGGTTACATGTTACTGTGGTTTGAATAGGAACAGCTAACATAGACTCATGTGTTCGAATGCTTGGCCCTTCCACAGTGACACAATTAGGAGGTGTGACCTTGTTGGAGTAGGGGTAGCCCTGGAGGGTATGTGTCACTGTGGAGGACAGCTTTGTGGTCTTATATGCTCAAGCTATGCTTAGTGTGGCACACAGCCACCCCTTGATGTCTGCTGATCAAGATGTAGAACCCTCAGTTGCTTCTCCTGCATTATGTCTACCTGTATGCTGCCATGCTTTTCACCATGACCATAATGGACTAAAACTCTGTAAGTCAGCCCCAATTAAATGTTTTTCTTTATAAGAGATGCTTTTAAGGCTCAGTGAAACCATGGAGATCCACAAGCCAAAGCTTGCTGAACTAAAGTAAAATTGTCATATTCATGGTTTAGAGATGAGTGAATAAAACAAGATATTATTATTATTATTGTTTCTTTTTTTTTAACATATCAATCCCAGTTCCGGCTTCCTCTCCACCCCACCCCCACTTCACAGGGAGGATGATGCCTTCCAGGAGGGATCAACAAAATCTGTCAAGTCATTTGGAGTAGGGCCTAGGCCTTCCCTCCTGCCTCTAAGTTAGGGGAGTATCCCTCAATGGGGAATGTGCTCCCAAAGTTCTTTTGTGCACCGGGGATACAACCTGGTTCCAGTGTGAGAGGTCCCTTTGACTGCTCAGGTATTCTAACTGAGATCAATGTTCAGGGGGTCTGAGTTGGTCCAATGCTGGTTTCCCACCTATCAGTCTGGGGGGGGGCATTAGCAACCCCTTGTTCAGGTCAGCTGTCTCTGTAGGTTTCTGTAGCCTGGTCTTCTCCCCATCTTCTTATTACTCCCCCCTCTCTGCATCTGGATTCCAGTTCGGTTCAGTGTTTAGCTGTGGGTGTCTGCTTCTGTTTCATCAGCTACTAAATGAGGGTTCTATGATGGTGGATAAGTTAGTCATCAATCTCATTATCAGGGAAGGGAATTTAAGGTAGCCTTTCCACTGTTGCTCAGATTGTTAGTTGGGGTCATCCTTGTAGGTCTCTGAACATTTCTCTAGGTCAGTTTTCTCTTCAAACCTATAATGGTTCCCTCTTTTACGGTCTCTCTCTCTCTCTCTCTCTCTCTCTCTCTCTCTCTTTTCTCTCTCTCTCTTTTCTCTCATCTATTCCTCCCCTGACTCAATGTTCCTAGTCCTATATGCTCTTCTCTCCTCCCCTTCTCTTTCTCCTAGCTCCCTCTCCATTCACTGCCCCGCCCCCACCCCCAATATGCTCAGGAGATCCTGTTCCTTTCCCCTTCTGTGAGAGAACCTTATATGAATCTCTTAGGTTCCTCCTTGAATCCTAGTTTCTCTGGCAGTGTGAATTATAGGCTGATGATCCTTTGCTCTATGTCTAAAATCCAAATTTGAGTGAGTATATACCATGTTCCTATTTTTGTGACTGGGTTATCTCAGGATGGTTTATTCAAGTTCCATCCATTTGCCTGTGAATTTCAAGATTCCATTTTATTTTACACTGAGTAGTATTCCATTTTGTCAATGTGCCACATCTTCTTTATCCATTCTCCAGTTGAGGTGCATCTAGGTTGCTTCCAGATAGGCTGCAGCCTGAAGAGGACATAAATGAAGAAGATGTACTAGGAAATGACACTGAGGAAGTACACAGAACTGCCTGCCAAAGAGGAAAACTTTCTTGAAAAAGCTGTTGACGTGCCCTTAGAAAAGGAGGTGGGAAGAATTATATCTGGAAAACCTTAGATGAATAGAATGCAAGAGAGGCCTGAGCAATTCAGTGTGCCTGTAGGAAGGCTGCTTGGGTAGCTGGGATTGTTATTTCTTTAGTTCCAACAAAAGGTTTATCATCTGACACTAAGCCTATGGTTAACCTGGATAAACTAAAGGAAAGAGCACAGAGATTTGGTTTGAATGTCTTTCCCATCTCAAGAAAGTCTGAGGATGAAGAGAAGCTGAAAAAAAAAGGAAGGAGAGACAGGATTGTGACAAGTTGAACTGCAACAGGAACTATAGAGGTTTCAGAGGCAAAGAAAGGGAAAAGAGCAGTGTGTTTGGGGATTGCATAATGAAAACTTCATGCTTTCTGCCCCTCAGTGATTTCCATTTTTCAAATTCTTCTTGGGTTTTATACACACAGACACACAGATACACACACATGCATGTACATATACACACACAGACACACACACACACACACACATGCATGTACGTACACAAGCAGACACCCACACAGACACAGACAGATAGACACACCCACCCACACACATACACATACACACACACACACACACACACACACACACACACACACACACACCTATACACACAGCCACATGCCTCACAGTGAGAAAGCACAAACTTTAGGTGCATCCTTGAATTCCAGCAGCAGTTTGAATTAACTGCTGTACAGCATTTAAGCTTGTTGTATTTTTGCTTTTAATTATTTTGCTTATTAAGAAGACAAAAAAAATAAAGGCGTTTCCATAGTCAAGATGGTGGTTTAACATAAGAAAATCTATCAACGTGATCCACCATATAAACAAACAGAAAAAGAAAAACCACATGATTATCTCCCTAGATGCTGAAAAAGCCTTCGACAAAATTCAACACCCTTTCATGATAAAGGTCTTGGAGAGGTCATGGATAACAGGAACATACCTAAACATAATAAGGGCAATATACAGCAAACCAACTGCCAACATCAAACTGAATGGAGAGAAACTTAAGCCAATTCCTCTAAAATCAGGAACAAGACAAGGCTGTCCTCTCTCTCCATATCTCTTCAATATTGTACTAGAAGTTCTAGCTAATGCTATAAGACAACGAAAGGAGATCAAGGGCATCCAAATTGGAAAGGTCGAAGTCAAACTGTCTCTATTTGCAGATGATATGATAGTTTACATAAGCGACCCAATAAACTCTACCAGGGAACTCCTACAGCTGATAACCACCTTCAGCAAACTAGCAGGATACAAGATAAACTCAAAAAAATCAGTAGCCCTACTTTTTTCAGACAACAAAGAGGCAGAGAAAGAAATCAGAGAAACATCACCCTTTACAATAGCCACAAGCAACATAAAGTATCTTGGTGTAACGCTTACCAAACAAGTAAAAGACCTATATCATAAGAAATTTGTGACTCTAAAGAAGGAAATTAAAGAAGATACCAGAAAATGGAAAGATCTCCCATGCTCTTGGTTAGGTAGGATTAACATAGTAAAAATGGCAATCTTACCAAAAGCAATCTACAGATTCAATGCAATCCCCATTAAAATCCCACCACAATTCTTCACCAACCTTGAAAGGATAATAATCAACTATATATGGAGAAACAAAAGACCCAGGATAGCCAAAACAACCCTATACAATAAAAGAACTTCAGGAGGCATCACCATTCCTGACTTTAAGCTCTACTACAGAGCTATAGTTCTGAAAACAGCCTGGTATTGGCATAAAAATAGACAGGTAGACCAATTGAATCGAATTGAAAATCCTGATATTAATCCACGCACCTATGAACTCTTGATTTTCGACAAAACAGCTACAATTATACAATGGGGCGAGGACAGCATCTTCAACAAATGGTGCTGGCACAATTGGATGAGGGTGTGTAGAAGACTGCAGATAGACCCATGTCTGTCGCCATGCACAAAATACAAGTCCAAATGGATCAAAGACCTCAACATCAATCCAGCCACATTGAACCTCTTAGAAGAGAAAGTAGGAGGTACCCTTGAACAAATTGGTATAGGAGACCGCTTCTTGAACATAACTCCAGGGGCACAGACACTGAGAGAAACAATTAATAAATGGGACCTCTTCAAACTTAGAAGCTTCTGTAAGGCAAAGGACACAGTGGACAAGACCAAACGGCAGCCCACAGACTGGGTAAAGATTTTCACTGATCCTATATCCGACAAAGGGCTGATCTCCAAAATACACAAAGAACTCAAGAAATTAGTCAAGAAAACACCAAATAACCCTATTAAAAATGGGGTACAGAACTGAAGAAAGAATGCTCAATGGAGGAAATCAAAAAGGCTGAAAGTCACTTAAGAAAATGCTCCACATCCTTAGCTATCAGGGAAATGTAAATCAAAACAACTTTGAGATACCATCTTACCCCTGCCAGAATGGCTAAAATTAGAAACACCAGTGATGACTTATGTTGGAGAGGATGTGGAGAAAGTGGAACACTCCTGCACTGCTGGTGGGAGTGCAAACTTACAGCCATTTTGGAGATCAGTATGGCGGTTCCTCAGGAAAATGGGAATTAGTTTACCACAGGACCTGGCAATCCCCCTCTTAAGTATATAACCAAAGGATTCACATCCATGCAACAAAGACATCTATTCAACTATGTTGATAGCAGCACTATTTGTAATAGCAAGAACCTGGAAGCAACCTAGATGCCCCTCAATTGAATAATGGTTAATGAAGATGTGGTACATCTAAACAATGGAATACTACTCTGCAGAAAAAAATAATGGTATCTTGAAATTCGCAGGCAAGTGGATGGCACTTGAAGAAACCATCCTGAATGAGGTAACCCAGTCACAAAAAGAGGAACACAGTATGTACTCACTCATATATGGTTTTTAGACCTAGATCATAGATCACCAGCCTATAATTCACATCACCAGACAAACTAGGATACAAGGTGTATTCTAAGAGATTCATATAAAGTCCCTCACAGAACTGGTAAGGGACAAGTCCCCCAGAGCTCAGGTGAAGTGGGGGAAGGACAGCGAATGGAGAGAGAAGTAGGAGAAAATGAGGGGGAGGAAAGGAAAACATGTGCG